TGACAGTGTCTTACAACTTGAAAAACGACTGGAAGGCTTCATTTGAAAGAACCAGTTGATCCATGGCCAGATATCCTCATTCTGTTACAAAAGCTCTACACACAGACCATTACAATTCATGGCATCATGTGACATTGTTCTGAACAATGCAGTATGGTGTATAACCCCAGTTGAATAGCTGAAAGGTTAACAGCCAAGTATCCATCTCATCCTACCGGGTACCCGTTCATTTCTGGACGAACAGAAGCTTATTTCAAACAGTCACTTGCTTAAGAAGACACCATATGAACTGTGTCCTTCAGTGCGATGCAGTAGAAGCCGTACAAAGAACCGTCCTTCCAACTATTCTCCACAACCAACACTGCTTAACTTCGCATGCTTTGTGTACCAAGTGCTGTACACATGACCAAGAACAAATGTGCACCGAAAGTTATTGCACTCGATCTGTCAAGCTTAATGTTTGGCCTGATCCAACCTACTGATTAATTTATAGTAGCTGAACTTACTATTAGAGTTATTCTTAACTGTCTCACGTTTTAGAACGAGATCTGTTGTCAAGTAAGTAGGGTAAAACGTTAATATATCAATGAGTTCTATGGGAACGGTACCGTCCAGTTTAACAGGGTTTAACTTTTACTGTGCTACACATATTCCTCTGTGCCGGTGTTTCATTGTCACAATAAGAATTATTCTCTGTCAACTGTAGTCGGCCCCATGGTAAATAGCATATAATATTCAATCACACCTGTAACGCACTGACGCGGAATCTCTGATGCAAGCACGAGGAAAACGACATTATTTGTGAAGTGTATTTGAGGACAACATTACACTATTTTTCTTATGCTATTTAGCATCTGTAATCTAGGGCGTACCGACCACGGTAGCTTATCGATTATCTGTTTTTCATTGTCCTCTCTGTTGTCGGTAAACAAAGTTAATTCGGCAAACGTGTTGCTGAAAACCTATTCTATCTTCAACTTCAACTTCAACTTCAACTGCCATATTATTTGTGTCACATTTCTGTTGGACACCCTACACTCTCCCGCACGAGCTGTCATGGGATGCATTGAGATCGATTCCTCTCAGGTCACGATGACATAAGCGTTATCTCGTATACGTGGGCATTGTACCGTAACACCACCACTTGTTGACTTATGTGAACAACTACCTTATGGGCAATGTGTGATTATAGGAATTGCAGGATAGTGTGTTCAGCGCAACCTGCACCAATAATATACATATAGAAAACCCATTTCAATCGTGGTTTTCGTCCTGGAGAATTATACCTATGGGCTGATACCTTTTGTGCCATGTGCTAATGTGGGATATACGTCGCCTACATGATATGCATATTTACACAGCTTACATACATTGACTACATACACAGAGTACATACATAGACTACGCAAGTGGTCCTTCTACCCCCCCTTCAGTGCAGATTTTCGCTTGTTTTTATTCTTTTTACGTTTATTTATTCAAAAAGTCTGTAGCCTGGCAAGCAATAATCTATTGTTGGATGAACCCATGGACTTGAATACTGAAATATATGAGGAGTCGTCAAGAAACTCTTTGAACATCGTCAGTGGTACTGTTTATTGTAGGCGCCTAATTTATCTTGTAAACTATAAAGACAACCCACATATTATAACACATATTATAAATATATCTCCTGGGTATTCAAGCTCAGTTTGCGATTAACTTACGCATCTAATGGCTGTAGCAATGCCTCCCTTACGTACCACTATTTTATACTTTGAAAAAGTAGGGGATCATGAAATATCATGTCTGTAAAACACGTTTGATAGTTTGCACGTGCCGCACACAGTAGCGCCACACTCGTGCGTAGGTCGATAAGCTCTGTGGACCATTATTTCTTACAGTCCTATCGTTTCTACTGATCATACAGCTGTTATTTGAGTTGCAGTCACACAGACAATGCGACCGCGATGCAACCTCTTGGCGACTGATTTCCAGTGCGACCGACTGGCGATCGCTGAGACTGGTGCAACTACTTCTGCCCACATTTGGAACTAGGGTATGATTGCCGATCAATCAGCAATACGTTTTGCAACGTGTCAGTGTTTGATCGGCAACTGTTCACCGCAGATACGGCGAAATGTTTGCAACTGGTTGAGACCGATCGGTGACTAGCCAGCTAATCTCAGAAATCGTTTACATGCAACTTATCCCTTGCTCGACGGCCACATATAATTAAAAAACAACAACTTGACACTGACTTTCAAAATGTAATATAATGCGATTGTTTCAAAATTGGACACAGAAACCATAATTGAAACACTGTTTGAAGATCAATGTACACAATGTTCAAAACATTAATCGTGTCCCCTAGACAGACACACGTACACGATACAGTTAAGGTCACAGGGGTACAGAAAATGTCAGTATCGGTTGTGCCCACCACGTGCATCAATCACCGCTTGACACCGACGACCCATAGATGCAATCAAGTTGTCAATAACACGCTGTTGGATGTGCTGCCATTCAAGAAGCGCCGGAAGTGTTTGGGGCGGCGGATTCCTTCTGCGAACGCGTCGATCCAACTCGTCCCACATATGCTCAATCGGGGACAAATCTGATGACCGGGCTGGCCAAGGTAATGTCTGGATGTTATGGTGCTGTAAGAAGTCCTGACAACCAACGGGAAATATGCGGTCGAACGTTGTCCTGCTGGAACTGTCCGCCATGAACGTTGACGTGAGGAAGAACGTAAGGCTGTAGGATCAAGTCTCTGTTACGCACACCTGTCAGTGCACCTGCCACATGCACGAGAGGCGTCCTACCACCGTGATGAATTCCGGCCCATACCATGACACTCCCGCCGCCAAATGGGACAACCTGCTGCACACAGTTGGGGGCGTAACGTTCACCCCGACGTCTGTAGACACGTGCGCGCCCATCAGCACGTGTGAGTAGGAAACGGGACTCGTCAGTAAACAGTACATTTCTCCACCTTTCACGTGCCCATCTAACCCTCTAATGCACCAAATCAGACGGTCCGCCAGATGACGTGGGGTCAATACATGACGTCGAACAGGTCTTCGTGCAAAAAGTCAAGCCTCCTTCAGTCTGTTGCGTACAGTTTGATCTGATATTCTGCGTACCCCAGGGATCTGTGTGGTTGTAGACGTGGCTGTGGTAGTGCGGTCTCGGAGGTGTTGCAGCCGGATGTATCGATCTTGTGCTTGGGTTGTCACCCTTGGTCTTCCTCACCTTGGTCTGTCGTTAACTCTGTTGGTGTTGGTGTATCGGGTCTTCAGTGCCGAGATTGTCTGTCTGGATTCGCCAAAGTGCCTGACCACTTCTTGCTGAGTTGCTCCAGCTTGTAATCTCCCAATGGCGTTGTTCCGTTGAGCTGCATTCAGTCTTGGCATTCTGTCACCGCCTCTACTGTCGTGATAAGGACTGTATGAACAGCCGTTGATGGGGATTTTTATACCCATTCAGCAGGGGAGCCTGCATGCCTAAATGCAGGATGCTGTCCTGCACGTTTTTTACAGGCGGTTGCGTTTAGATGAAGCTGTAAAATTGATCCCCAAACGCTACGTTTATGTACTTGGCATGTGTTTTCGCGAATTATCGACACAACATCTTTCTGTTTGACTTATTTTGCTCTCGCTTAATGTAATTATTTTAGATATTTGGCAAAAAGTGGTTTAAAATCTATGTCAAGTTTCTCTTTTTGAAGAGTATATATTTGTAACAGACGTCAATGGTATATACAACGTCGAAACTAGAGTAATCGTCGTTGGTCATGATAGGCGTAGTCGTGTCTGGTGACGTCAAAATGAACGTCAAGCCAAAGTCAACTTGTGGTCTCATAACAGATTTAACCGGTCATGGTGTGGGGTGGAATCACAATGACTGACGGAACAACACACCATATTGTGGAACGAAGTGTCACTGGGCACTGACACTCGTTGTTGTCCGTCTTTCAGGACGACAACTCCCGCGCTCACCTCCAGCAGGACAACAGCCTAAGAATGCCATGGCCAGCAATGAGCCCCGTCTTTTGGCCCATAGATCGCGTCCGGTACATGATAAAGAGACGTGTGCGTCAACATTATAGGCAACAGACCACGTTGGCTGAACTTGGCCAGGTCTCGGAGGTGTTGCAGCCGGATGTATCGATCTTGTGCTTGTGCTACAAGAGGAGTGGGACCGAATGCCTCAAATCGTGATTGACAGACCTTGTTGTCTCGTCGTGTGAATGAATGTATGACAAATCGTGGCCAAACATGTCAACTTTCCCATCTTATCCTTTTCGTACTTAAGGATTGTTGGCGATCATAATATCTACTGTCATACTTCAAAATCGGGTGTAATTTCTTTTTATTATCTCACAACTATTACAAGAAACTAATATGGCTAGCAATTTTTTAAATGTAAAGTTGTTTCCGAGTATCCCCTACCTTTTTATAAGCTCATACAAAGTTGGTACTTCAAGCACCATTTTGCCTTTTACATCCAATGGAATCTGTTCGGCGTATAATCGAAAAAGATTATTCTGTGGCGTTGGCATTTTATACTTACACACGGTACCGCGCATGACGCGAAGCGTTTACCTTCCCCGATTGTTCCTCAGCTAAAAGTGGCTTATTAACGCGTTCTAGGGTAATATATTTTTGAGTTGTACTGTACAAATATGTCCATTGCCACAGCTACAATACAGGCTACACAAAGGGAAATGTAACCTCTGCTTAACAATTTCTGACGACCTCGGTTGAAACATGAAAAATCCGTTGTTGCATGTGTAGATCAGTAATTGTGAAATACACTTTCTTGGACATATCAAAGGAAAACTGAAAGGAACTAATACGCACGTACGTACGCACACACACGCACACACACACACACACACACACACAAAAACACACAAACACACACACACACAAACACACACTCACACACACATTGTAAAGTGTTTAACTAATGTGTGCCTTATCTATGTGAATTTTTGCAATAAAATGTTTAAATCAAACCTGTTAACATCCATGCTCGACGAATCCTTTAGACTCCATATACACGACATGATCTGATTCATTAAATCAGGATCTGATTCAATAAATGCACTACACATACCCAGAAGTAACACGCCGTCACATTTTCCTGACTGATAAGATTAAATCCAGTGCACAGCGAATCATAAATGCCCTTATAAGTGTTTAGCATACAACAGTGGCGGTGCAATTTGAGGTACACTGTTGGGTCTCGTAGGACAGCCAGAAGCTCATGTTCGCCCTGATGCTGTTTCTAGGTTTGTCAGCACCATAAACATAGTTACGTTTTTTTTATATGGGTGCGGCTCACCCATTGGAATCGCTTAACTCTGAAGTGTTTATTTCTCACAAATAAAGCGATAAAACCCTCTCCATATCCAATAGATATATTTGCATAATCGTCGTTTGTACGATTCCGACAATATCATGAGCATGTATTTATACTATCAAATAATGATGACACCAGGTTTCTCGAAATGGTGCTTGCAAACACCTTCCCATCTTATCGTCATATAAACCTAAAATTATCGAACGCTTTGGTAATGAGGAAAATGATGCAGATAGTCCCGAACATTAACTTGAAAAATAGAAACTATTGCAATTAATATTTCAGAATGATTATAAATAAGATTTAGCCCTCGTGTCTTTTAAAACTTTAAGAAACAACTCTCGTCGAAAAAACTCCCCGGAAGGTCTACATGTAGGAGTTCTGCTCCTTTAATCATTGAGGCGGTCGGGAAGCCAAGTGATTAAAGCGTTCGCCCCTCACGCCGTAGACTCGGGTTCGATTCCTGACATGGGTACAATGTGTGAAACCCATTTCTGGTGTCCCCCACCATGATATTGCTGGAATATTGCTAAAATTGGCGTAAAACCATACCCACTCACTCACTGCTTTAATCATTAGTATATAATACCAAAAGACACTGACTATCACGGAAACTATCATCCGGAGTATCAGATCACTATAGAATACTATCACTGTTGTACGAATAATATACGTAACAACACATTACAGCATTAAAAACTTAAACTTAATTGTGACTCGATTTACCATAATCGGTTCCAACATTGTTCCAGAGTTTGTGCTGCAGAAGATGAGCTATTGCAATGAATACACGCCTATAACCTGTCCAAAATCATATTTTGAATATGAAATTATATCAGATTTGGTGGAAGAGTTTGAAACTCTCGTTCCTGCGTTTATATTAAGTTTTCACCCTATGCTTCTGTCATCCGTACATGTCTACCCTCAATAACGTATTCTTGTGGCGGGAGTTGGGGTATCCTAGTCGTTAAAGCGTTGAAATTATATCAGATTAGCTGTTTAACGTCATACAACAGAAGATGTGTATGTTAACCCTGTACAGCAAGACAATTACACTCAGCAAAGAGAGTCCATTAACATCGTAGATCCCTATAATCGTGGGTTTCAAACCCAAATCGTCATGATTATGTTTATCATTTCGTGAGTGCCATACCCGTGGTCATAGATTGTACACGCTGCCATGACCTCGGCTTTCCCATTGCAGCTGAGACACTTTTCAAAGTGGAGTTCAACTATGTTTGCTAACCACTCATTTAAGTCGCATTCGAAATGTACCGATATTTAATGAAAATTCCACCATTAATTTGTAAAAGACTCCATTCTAATGGTCAATCAGAGGCTCAGATCAAGATACTAAGTTGAAATCTTTTCAAGATACTAAGTTGAAATTTCAAGATAATAAGTTGAAATTTCAAAATACAAACTAAAAAAATGTACGTAAAGGCTTCTGTACAATTATTACAGTGTTCACCTCGGTTTTGCCTTTGACGCCCAATGGAATGGATAAGCGAGAATAATTATTGTCAGGCGTTGACGTTTTATATTCTCTAATAATTGTAATAATTATTAGTATATGCTTTACGTTTGAGCTGTTACTAATTCTGACAATAATGATAAGCAATCAGGGCTCTTACCATTCTTACAGCACATCACGTAAGTTTATAAAACGATAACATTTCACTATATCTTTGGATCAATCCGGATTCATCTATGTTCGTGTGTTTTCTTATATTATTTTATGTACGTGTGTAGACGCCCACAACAGTACGTTGAAGGTGAGGTTTCCAGACACGATATTTTACTGTATGTACCTGAAGAAAAGTATCCATCCTTTACTTCTTTTCAAAAACACATGTTGATAATATAGTTGCAAACGTTTAAAACAGACTGTGGTTTTAACAGATATTTATTATGATTATGGAATTAGTGTTATCGCTTTTCCCCCTAACATCCATGTCGATTTGTCCTTTGGAAATCAGTAGGTTTTGCTTCCACTATTTAGCTTACGATCTACAGCAGAAAGTCCAGGGTTCGATCCCCGGCCGCGTCATACCAAAAGACGTGAAAAGATGGTACTTGGTGGTACCCTGTCTGGCGCTCAGCGTAAAGGGGCTAAAACAAGGACTGGTCGGCTCAGTATACTGTGTCTGCGTTGGGTATTTATGTTTAACTTCGGCATGATATCTCAGTGGGCTAGTAGCCCTTTAAATCGGCATCAGGCCGGAGTAGTACAAGCAGCCACACACACACACATGCATGAACGTCACTATATAAGTGCTATTATATGGGACGCGACGTTAAACACCTCATCTGTTTTACATTGGTTTGCATCACAGAAGCTCCATCTTCACTCACTACGAGTGTGTTTATTATATATAAGAGGTTTGAGCGTATAATAAAGACCCGTTTTCCGAATCTATAACGGATGGCAGAAACAAAAACTTGTCTCAGTCCTAGTGCTTTTGTTATATAGATGCGAAAACAATCTGTTCCTATTTGTGCCACTCGGTTTCCATGCTGTCCACACGATAAAATTGATAACCTCCCTTATGCTGGGGAAGTACATGTACATATGTTGTATCCGGAAACGTAGGTTACCTGCATGTTTGTAAATTGTGTTTGCTTTTTAAAGTAACGAATATGTAACGAGATTGTGGTTTCAGATTACAGACTTATTGGGATCACTAGGCGTTAACGGGAGGTGGTATATGACTGTGTTATGGTTTGGCAAGAGCCTGTGTAAGCGTATACCTCCTGAGCCATGGTTAGCAGTTAGGAGCCCCGTACCCGCAACATGAAATTGATTTGAACAAATTTGCTGGTAATGGATATGAACAAAGACAGCTCAGTGTCCCTTCCCACTTGAACATGTGACGCTCAGTGTCATGCGCATCAACCATGTCGACTGACCTACATACGACAGGCGCCCTGCACTCGAGAGGTGTGACTTCCTTATGGATACAATAAGGTGATTATGTTCGTACTATTATGTTAGGGGAAGCACCTTACACATTGTTATTACATTAATGCATAGGTCCTCTTCTAGGAAGTAAACTTTAAGTTCAGATTTCGCCTCATAGTTAAGATTGTGATGTCGTGTTCATAGTTCAACCCAGTAGTGTCAATTTGTGATTCTTAATACACGTTCGGTTGACCTGAAAGGTTATCCTGCCTCGGAGAGAATTCAACAACAGACATCCATGTGACGTGTGATGTTAACTTTACTTTAATCCACACAGCATAGCATTACACATCTATTTCTGTCCCTACTTTGAAACTGAAAACGAAACAAGGAAGAATTTACAAGTGAGACGACAATAGCGCGTTTGCAGCCAACACAGGGTAGTACTGCACTTGATAGTTAATAGAATAATAGAGTTTAAATACATATGTATAGTGTACAGAGACGTATAGAACCAGTGTAGTTCAGCTTTCTGAAAAACACAATATCCAGCAATGTATGATTTCAAAGGTTATCCGCGAGTTATCTTCCTTGACTATGACAAGGGATAATAGCTCTGTGAAATAAGATGTAAAGAAAGTATAAACTGCAAATATTCGAGGAGTTACACTGCTGTTAATGTGTGTGGCGTTGATCAATAAAGTCGATGTTACAGTGATACAGACGTGTTTCCAGATTGTGAGCCAATTTTGTAAGCACATGTACATGCACATGCATGACCTACCTACATCCCTATCGGGAGCGGTCGGGTAGCCTAGTGGTTAAAGCGTTCGCTCGTCACGCCGAAGACCTGGGTTCGATTCCCGACATAGGTACATTATGTGAAGCCCATTTCTGGTGTTTCCCGCCGTGATATTGATGGAATATTGCTAAATGCGGCGTAAAACCATATCCACTCACTCACTCCATCCCTATCGCGTTATATTCTCATAATATACTTACATTATATCATATACACATAATAGACACATTTCATTCGTTGTTGAGCATTACATGTAAGTCTAATACATTGATATTCTTGGTATTTATACAGATATCAGCTGTTACGTGGGTTTGCAAACATTTCTTTTTGTTTTTGCAGTGAAAGAAAAGGATGGAAGAATCTGAGCTTGACCTTAAGATGCCCCCGGTGCCATCATCTCCACCCAGCAGTCCAAACCCTCCACCTCCCGATGAGTCTGTCTTAGAACGCATGTGTTGCTTTCATATATGCCGAGGACGACCAGGAGGCAGATTTTACCATATTGACCGAAATGACTGATGGAACATATCTTGATGTCCCTCTGCAGACAGACGAGTTTTTCGGCGGAAGTCTTGTTGAGAAACCTGGGAGAATTGCCTCACAATGCTGGCTTGTGTTAGTAGTTCAGACACATCGTACAACCAACGACGTGGTAGCAAAATTCACTAAAGACGAACTAATTGTGAAAATTCGTATGACAGAGGCCAAGGATCAGGTCTGGCATCTATTGAAACCTTAGTTTGGGTTCCATCAGCCAAAACGAGAACGAAGAGAAAGATTAAGGACTTTATTGCATGGCAAAAGGAACAGGATGTGACACGGCGCATCGCTGCTTGGGTCCCTGGGTATACTGCGCTGGCGCTACACTGACCCAGGCAATGACTGCACAATGGCCGCCTACGATAGAAAAACGCCAGAACGGGTGGTTAAAACATTTTCTTAGCATTTTCATGAATGCTCTTGCAATGTATATGTCACGAGAATACCGTCCATTTTTAGTGAAGGAAAACATTATGCACACCTTATTTGCAGCAGTGTTAT